GATTGGAGGCACGCCAGCGGCGAGCGCAGCAGGAACCACACACGATCGCGGATTCCTGCTGCCACTGAAGCCTTTCAAACCGGAAGTTTCAGGCCATATTTGAGGACCTTGTTCGAAGCCAAACAGCAAACAGACATTTGGGAGAGTTGAAGCAGGGGCGTGGCTCACTCATGGATTATATTGCTAGTTTTTGGGTGGTTGCTCAGGATGTATAATGGAATGAGGTAGCACTATTAGACCAGTTCCAGGAGGGTTTGTTGTCAGAGCTCCTGGATGACTTGGCGTGCACTGAATGCCCTTATACCCTTCAGGAGCTCATGCATTTGTATTTGTCTTCATATTGATGCTAGACTTCAACAGCAATGGGTGCGATGACAGACAGAGATCATATCTGTTTCCAGCAAGATGGCGCCCTTGGTGGAAGTGCCTTTGGAGGAACCCATGCAGTTGGGGGCTGGCTGCCCTCCCCTGACTCTAGTAGAAAAGAATAGACATTGTCATGATGGTTTATGCCTCTATTGTGGCAATCGAGGCCATTTTGCAGCCAAGTGTCCTGTTAAGACATCCATAGCAGCGATACCTACAGTGGCAGGAAATGAGCATTGCTCGGCCTATGGGGGTCTGCAGGTCGGGGTGTAAAGTCCATAGGCCCACCGTCTTCACCAACCTTGTCACCCTCACCACTTTTGACATCTTTGATATTTCCACCACAGTCGCTATTGGTGAAGCATCTTGTGCTGCCAGCAAGTGTGTTCGTGCCTGGTGTGGGAACGGTGGAGATCCCAGCTTTGGTCGATTCAGGGGCCACAGCCAATTTCATGGATGCTCATTTTGTCAAGCAGTGGTTCATTCCTCACCAGTAATGGTGGAGACAATTGATGGTCGGCCCCTTCATTTGGGACCTGTGGTTGCTGCAACCAAACCCCTTTGCATGCATATTGGGAAGCATGTGGAGGAAACCATGTTTTACATTGCCGCAGTGCCTCATTCTCCAGTAGTGCTGGGTTTGGAGTGGTTACAGGCCCATGATCCACAGATTCTGTGGTCATCTGGAGCTGTGCAGTTCCTTGATAGGAAGTGTGCCATCATTGCTTGCGCTCCTGTGCAGGGAGTGTGGCTACGCCTGTGGACCTGGATCTACCTGCGGAGTTGGTGGATTTGCTGATGTGTTTGGGGAGAAGGAGCTGGATCAGTTGCCTCTGCATCAGGCATATGACTGTCCAATCGAGTTGTTGCCTGGTGCAAAATTGCCAGTGGGTCGGATATAATCCCTGTTTGAACCGGAGTTGGCCATGTTGCAGGATTTTATTGACAAGAACCTCTGGAAAGGGTTTATCCAGCTTCTTCCTCCCCATTGGCTGCACTGGTGCTTTTTGTGAAAAAGAAATCGGGGGAGCTACATTTGTGTTTTGATTATCGCAAGTTGAATGCAATCACAGTGAGGAATTGGTACTCGCTTCCCCTCATCCCTGAACTGATTGAGCAGCTTCATCAAGCTAAGATCTTTACAAAGTTGGACTTGCATGGGGCCTACAATCTGGTTCACATTTGTGCAGGGGACGAGTGGAAAACAGCTTTCCAGACTGAGGTACAGGCATTTTGAGTATACCGTGATGAATTTTGGATTAACCAATGCCTCAGCTGTGTTCATGCATTTCATGCACGATATTTTCTATGATTTGTTGAATCAATTCGTGGTCATTTATTCAGATGACATTTTGATTTACTCAGACTCCCTGCAGGAACATTGGCAGCATGTGTGGCTGGTGTTGCAATGTTTGTGTGATAACCACCTGTTTGCTAAATGTGAGAAGTGTCAGTTTGCACAAACCACGATTGATTTCTTAGGATATTGTATTTCACCTGCTGGGGTGAAAATGGACCCAGAAAAAAATCAATCATTGCAGGAGTGGGAACCTTCACAGTGGGTTAAGGATGTGCAATGAACTACTACCACACATTTATTCCCCACTTTTCTGCCTTGACTGCTCCCCTTTCTAATCTGCTCAAGAAGGGGGAGAAGTTCCATTGGGGTGCTGAGGAGCAGGCAGCTTTCAAGGCATTGCTTATGAGCCTATCCTCAAACAACCTGATCTAGGACAGCCATTTGTAGGAGAAACAGATGCTTCCAATGTGGCTGTTGGTGTGGTGCTCCTCCAGGCCTATGCTCCCACAGGCACCTTGTTCCTGTGCGCTTATTATTCCTGGAAGTTGTCAGCTCCAGAGTGCAACTATATGATTTGGGACAAGGAGCTATTGGTGGTTAAGGTCACTTTTGAGACATGGCAGCACCACTTGGAGGGGGCATGTCACCAAATCGAGGTTTGGACGGATCATCGCAATTTGGAACACCTACATACAGCTCGGACATTGAGCCAGCATCTGGTGAGATGATCCTGATTCTTTGCTTGATTCGATTTCTGGGTGACCTATGTTCTGAGTGGATGGAATCAACCTGCCAATGCCCTATCTTGGAAGCCTGAGTATACCCAAAGGGAGGATACAATCTTGCCCTGGACATTGATTCCATTGGACCAGTTTGTGGCCACCGAGGAACCTATGGACCTTCAAGTGAGGATTCAGGAGGCGCAAGCAGCAGGACCCAATTGTGGCAGATCGACGTCGAGAATTGGATGAGAATGGGAGACAAGAGACTCCTTGGGTGTATATTGGAGACCTGTTGCGGTTCCGTGATTGCATTTATGTGCCTGGAGGTCCTTTTTGTGGCCTTATCCTATGTCAATGTCATGATAGTCCAGCAGCAGGACACTTTGGGGTGTTCAAAACACTGCACCTCATCTCTAGGACATTTTGGTGGCTGAGACTTAAACATGATATGTCAGGATATGTGGTGTCCTGTGGGATCTGTCGCCAAGCAAAGGATGCTCCTGGTGCGCCCCCTGGTCAGGATATGTGGTGTCCTGTGGGATCTGTCGCCAAGTAAAGGATGTTCCTGGTGTGCCCCCTGGTCTCATGAAGCCCTTGCCCATGCCAGAACGTCCATGGGGGGGCATTTCATTGGATTTCATCTTTGAGTTACCACCATGGAATGGTGCCACAACCATTTTGGTGATTGTGGATATGTTGACTAAAATGGCCCACTCTATTCCGTGTGCAGGTCTTCCATTGGCCAAGATAACGGCTCAATTGTTTATCTCCCATGTTTTCCAGTTGCATCGGTTACCAAACTACATGGTATCAGATTGGGGGGTACAATTTACGGCGCGCTTCTGGCAGACCCTACTCGGGAAAATGCAGGTTCAGGCATGTCTGTCGTCTGCTCATCACCCCAAAACTGATGGGGGAACAGAGAGATTGAATGCTATTTTGGAGCAGTACCTCTTCTGTTTCAGCAATACTCAACAAGAAATTGGGTGGAAGTACTCCCGTTGGCAGAATTCGCTTATAACAATGCTCAACATGCATCTATCCATGTGTCCCCTTTCTTTGCTAACTATGGGTTTCATCCACAACTTTTCTTTTTAGCCCCGTCTGATTCCCCAGTTCTGGCAGTGGATATGTTTTTGCAGGAGTTAAAAGCCATGCATCACATGGTCCGCGGTCAACTAGAGAGAGCCAAGGAAGACTATAAACAGTTTGCAGACCGACATCATCGTGATGTTCCACCTTTAGTGGTTGGCGATCGGGTTTGGCTCTCTACTTGATATTTTCCAATGATGTGACCATCGAAAAAGCTTGATCACTGTTACTTGGGATCTTTTCCAGTCGAGGCAGTGATCAATCCTGTGGCTTAGCGTCTCTCCCTGCCACGAACCATGTGTATCCATCCTGTTTTTCATTGTTCCCTGTTAGTCCCCATCTTAGCCGACAGTCCACATCGACCGACTCCATCACTACCAGCCCCAATAGCCCCTCTGGGAGAGGAGGAGTATGAAGTGGATAGCATTCAAGATTCATGCCAGTTGCAGGGCCGATTTCAGTATTTGGTAGCATGGAAAGGTTATGGGACCAGAGGACTTCACCTGGGTCGATGCCACTGATGTTCATGTTCCTCGTTTGGTCCAGGACTTTCATGCTCGGTTTCCTCAACGTCCTTATCCACCTGGGCCCGGGGAAGAGGCCCTGTGGGGGGGGATAGTGTCATGCCCCTGGTGGAGACTGACTCTGAGGAAGAGGAGGAACAGCCAACAGGGAGGAGACTGGGGAAGAGCAGAGACTGCTGAGCAGTCAGAAGAGGATCCAGGCCCATCCCCTATCCATCCTAGGTCAGGCAGGGAGGAGAGGATCAGGGAAAAGTGAGGTCTACTCAAGAGGAGATTACCATGATCCTCCTCATGGCTTGCAGGTGGGAGCTATGTATATAAGTTTGCAACTGTGCAGTTAGAATTTGCAGGAGTCAATTTACTGTTCAATTTGAAAGAGGTTTATCTTTCTTGGGGTTCTTCCCATGGACTTTTCTCGATTATTTTCCTGGAGTTTATGATTAGTTATCGTGGCTTGCTTTGGAACTCTCATCAATGCAGTTTGTTTTGGTTTTCTGTTTGCCTCATTAGTTACTTTTGTGACTTTAAACTGTGCCTAATAAAACAGTGAAATTAAGTTGAAGGCCTTACCGGACTTTAATATATGTTTTGGGTTTGGGGTTATTTTGAGAGACTACGGGTCATCACACTGGATGACTAAGAATCTCCATGTATAGTATGGCCTTTTTGTTTCTTAATACAGAGTATTTTGAAAGACATCTAGATTATTGAACATGTGGCTCCTTTATCTGGAGGGATATGTAAATCTGTGGGCAGCCTCTTCTTTAAATGAGTCATATAATTTTTATCAGAAGGAACTCATCAACAAAAACTGGTGGATGCTTTCCCAGACTTTTCTATTCCTCTCTTTTTGCACAGCAAAAATGTTATTTTGGCCAACATCCTTGCTCTTTGTCAATGTTCTTGCAGGTAATTCTTCCAGCATAGCATTCTTTTGACTATTCTTATTTATCTAGTAATATTTAACAGCTCTTACTGAACTATTTTCCTTTTCAGGTGCCCAATCTGAAGTTCAGTTGACTGAGTCTGGTGGGGATGTGAGGAGACCTGGAGAGTCCCTCCATCTCATCTGTCAAGCAGCTGGCTTCACCTTCAGTGATTACAGCATGCATTGGATGAGACAGGCTCGTGGGAAAGGGCTGGTATGGGTGGCACACATACGCTATGATTCTACATCTTTTCACTATTCTGATGAAGTCAAGAGTCGCTTCACCATATCCAAGGACAATGCCAAAGACCAGCTGCATCTGCAAATGAACAGCCTAAAGCATGAAGACACAGCTGTCTACTACTGTGCAAGAGGCACAGTGAGAGGAAGTGCTTCTGAAAGTGCTTCTGAAAGTTCTTCTTGGGGGATGCCAAGCTGAAACATATGAAGAATGGTTGCAAGAAATAGGTATGTCTAGTTTAATGGAAAGAAGGTCTAGAAATGACACAGTAGTAGTGTTCCAATAGTGGCTGCCACAAAGAGGATTCTCCAAGGCAACCTATTCTCCTGAAGGCAGGACAAGAAGCCATGGTTGGAAACTAATGAAGAAGAGAACCAACTTAGACCTAAGGAGAAATTTCCTGACAGTGAAAACAATTAATCAGTTTGCCAACAGAAGGTGTGGGTACTCCAACACTGGAAGTTTTGAATAACTGATTGGACAGCCATTTATCTGGAATGGTAGAGGGTCTCCTGTTTGAGCAGAGGGTTGGACTATAAGACCCCTAAGATCCCTTCCAACTCTATTATTCTGTTATTCTTAAACCAAGAAAGAACCTTCTCTTCCCCTGAGTAGTTCTCTAAGAAAACTCATTAAAATGATTTTGAATCGGAAGACCAGGATTAAGAATAGCACAATCTTGAATTGACCAAATGATTAAGTGCCACCTAGTTTAGTATCAGCCACTAGTGACTACATACACAACTTTTCTCCAGGGTTAGGATAAACAATAAGAGTCCTCCCAAGGAGTGGTGCCATGGCCTAGAGGTGAAGCTCTTGCCTCACAATCAAGTGGCTATGAATTCCACCCTAGGTAGAGGCATATTTCACTCTCTGGACACACTGAGAATATATTTGCTGAACAAAACCCTACATTGGCCACAGGAAGGGCATCCAGCCATTAAAACGCTCTGTTGGCTCCATTCAGTTGCCCAGACTCCACCCAGAGAAGGATTATGGGGTCATTAAAAGATGATGAATAAGACTCATCCCACAACTCCAAAAATCTGAAGATCAGCTATTTCTTTCCAGGTTAACCAAACACTGAAGATGCACAGAATTCTGTTACCTTCCCGCTGAAGTGGTCCCTATTTTTCTACTTGCATTTTTACATGCTTTCAAACTGCTAGGTTGGAAGAAGCTGGGACAAGTAAAAGAAGCTCACTCCGTCATGCAGTGCTAGGGGTTTAAACTGCTGAACGGCTGACCTTTCTGATTGACAAGCTCAGCATTTCAGCCACTGAGCCACCAAGTCCCTTATGTTGACTTTTGTTGAGTGATATGTAAATTCAGGGAGGGCTTTGTCTTTAAATATGATCCATCTTCTAAGGCTTTCCATTAAATTTCTCTCTTGTCATTGCAGTCATCAGAAATGATCATGTGGCTAACTCTGGTAACATTGCTAATAGTCCTTCTTTCACTAAGCATACCCGGTTCCTTCCAACATTCTTGGTATGTTCATGTTAGTTCATAAAAGTCAGGGCTGTCCCAAAGGCAGGTTTTTTTTTTCAAAAAGTACCTGAGCTTTCTTGGATGAGAAACAAAATGTTCCCACCCACACCCAAAGAAAACTCCCACAATAAAGTTGTCTTTTGGGGGAAAAAAAGAAACCACATTTGAACAGCCCTCTCTCAACTGGGGTGGTGGTGGTGGGTGTTGTCAGGGTACAATATCATATATCTCTAGTCTGCAACACAGTCCTGTTCCAAGAAGAATTCACACCCAATTGCACCATGCAGGATACAGATAAATGTCCAGGTGGCCTCTATGATTCACTAAAAGAATGCAAATGACCAACTATCCTCAAGGAGTTTCAATCCTTCCATTCCCCACTAGCCAGTCAGAGCTGAAGAAACTTCTTGGATGAGAAAAAAAATGGCTTCAAAGAAAAACAAGAAGGTCCCATTGCCTGTTGAAAAAGTACCTTCCAGGTCAACTATGACCTGAAAGACTAGGAATCTCTATGATTATTTGGGCATACATCTGGCAGATTATAGGGGAGAGATTTGAAATGAGCTGCTTGATATAGAATTGCTGATTCAGCAGTTGACTGGTTCATACCCAGTTCTTGCTAATGCATCTTTCAAGCTTTGCCTATATAATCACCTTTTCTTAAAGGAAACTTGTGCAGATCACCTATAACTCAATCATCTCTCCCTGACTCATTAGAATACAAGCAGAAACTAATCCTGTTATTGCTCCTCCATCTGTTTTACACTAGGGGGCAAAGTTGTCTGCAAAACACCACTAAACATTATTTCCCCAGTCCCTGCTTGCACAGTTTTCTCTGCAAATCAAAAAAGAATTCACTCCAATGCTCCTTGTCTCAATATGGCTCAAATTGAATTGACTTTCAGGATGCAGTCACTTTTATTTCCCTTTCTCATTCAACCAGGAAACCACTAAGCCATGATGTGATCGTTAACTTGTTCCTTCCAAGGTACTGAGAGAGACAAAAACAATTAATAAAATACTTGGATATCTCTATAACCAAACCCTGTCACAATTCTATCTCTCTGAAAGTCTTTTAAGGCATCATGGGAAGAGAAAGTCATGAAACTTGTTTCAAGAACTTAATTGTGAGCCTTCAAACTGCAGTACATCAATAAAACATCTTTAGTATTACATTTATATCCAGGCTCAGACTTCTTCTATTTACAATGAAGGCCTGTGGTTTTTTTAACTTTCTGTTTGTTATATATATTTGCATACTTACCTATGATTGGTTCGTCCGTGGCAGTGGGAGATTTGAAGAGCTGTCATTGGCCGCAAGCTGCGAGTTCTATCCTAGAAGAAATAAAGAAGGGAAAAAGGCAACTGGATCTCAGAGTCTCTTTCCCACTATGCAACACTGGTGACGAGGATGGGATACTGAGACAAAGGAACCCAGTTGCGCACATGGCAACGAAGACTGAGCAAGACGAAATGGCCGGAAACAACTTGCCACCTGTACCATTCAACCCAACAATTGAAGGCTCGGAATTGTACATTGATCTATTCCTCATGTTCCTAGAAGGAAGCGACCTCCACGAAATATCAGAAAATAGAAAAAGAGCCATTTTCCTCACCCATTGAGGTCCCACATTATTTAAAATAGCAAAGGCATTAGCAGCACCCACCAATGTAAAGACAATGGCTTGGCTGGACCTAGAGAAATTACTGCAAACTCACTACACACCAACCGTTTCATGCCTCATCAAAAGGCACAAATTTTATCGGTGCGATCAAAAAGAAGATGAGAATATCAAGATTTTGTTGCAGCACTAAGAGACATTGGCAGAGCATGCAAATTTATAAACATGGATGAAGCCATGAGGGACCGAATAGTCCTGGGATTAAAGGACCTTACACTAAGGGCCAATTACTAACAAGACCCAAGATAACACTAAAGGAGGCAATAGAAGAAGCCCACACAGCTGAAGCCACACAGAAATTGGCAGCTACCATAGGACAAATGAATAAAATACCAACGGAAAACCCAAAAGCTATAAATCAAATGCACAATAAGACACCAAAGGAAACTCACAAATCCACCACCACAACACACCACAAGGACATCGAGTCCCCATCAGAAGATGAAGAGGAAGAAGAAGAGGTAAATAAACTCCAGTTGGAAAAGGGCAGATGGGAGCAAAATGAAAAAAGGTCAGAATTTTGTTTTGCTGAGTGTGGGGGAAACTATTCACATTCTGAATGCCATTTATTCGATGCTATTTGCAGATATTGTGAATGGCGGGGACATATAGCTAGGTCATGCAGAACAAGAAATAACTATGGCCCTAGACAAAGATGGAACACACACACCCCCAGAGAGAGTATTGAGCCACAATCCTGATGTCCCTGTCAAATTTGTGTCCATATTTTTAATGGAGTTTTAGTTATGTTTCCTATATAGAATTCAAATACAAAGCTTCTGGATATAAGTACTCAAATCTGTGAAGATTTGGTTTCATGATTCATAATTCTCTGAAATTTAGGAAAGATAACAAAATTTTCCTACTTTCCATTTCTCTAAAAAAAATTATAACAGCATCATTATAACCATCAATACAATTTCCTGTAAACAAACCCAAAATCAGCTTTGGCTGCAGGTTCACCATTCTTAGGAAACTTCTGTTGGGCTCCCTCGAGTTTAATAATCTCTCCCAGATTCACTTCTACTGCTTAGAATACAAGGAAAAATTAAACTTAATACCTCTCCTCCATGTTTTTTTTTTACGCTAGGGAGCAGCAACGTCCCACTGAATATTATATATTAAAAATATGTTTTATTTGTAATTTTCCTTTAACAACCATACATATTTTGTGGACAGTGGGTCAATATACTTTTTATACAATGTTAACAATAATAATACAATTAAATATACATGATCCTTGTCTTCCAATTTCTAACCTTAACATGCACATTGTAATTATAATGGATTCTTTTATATACCAGTGTGTATAATACTATTTTCCCGATTTGTACTCATCTTTTCCCCCTCCATTTATTGGGCTTCTTCTACATTCACATCTTTGCCTTTAAACAATGCCATTCTCTCTTTATGATTCTTTATCACTTTCTATATTTTAACATAAATAACATTTCTTTGTACAATATATTTGTTGTCCCCTGTTGAATCACTAATATTCTAATATTTTTAAAATTACTCAATATTCCACCATAATTCCAATATTCCAATTTTCTAGAAACACCAATTATTCATAGTGGGGTTATATCTCTAGGTCCCCTGAATTTATAGTCCTGAATATTGTTTCCTTAATTGAAAACTTGTACAGTCCTTTCTGTAAACCAAATAAAAGTCCAACATTCCTTTCCTAAATGTAGTGAAAATTGAATTGGTTTACAATGCAGTCAACTTTATTCCTCTTTCTCATCCCACCAGGTAACTGCTAAAGCCACAATGTAATTTTTCTGCTGTTTCTTCCAAGGTATTGAGAGGGATAAAAGCTTGATGTCTTCTTTATTATTATGAATTGATCCCAGTCATGAATATAACCAGGGCTGGGCTGCTGGGAGTTCACAGGGGTTCCGGAGAGCCCCTAGCTAAAATTTTGTGCAGTTCCAAGAATCCCTAAATCCCACTCCCAGCTGACCCCGCCCTCTTGCCTCTTCCTCCCAGAAGTCCCCATACGGCCCATTTTGGATGCAGGTAAGT